GTCTGGCCTCGATCTGATTTTCTTTTCGATCGGTCTTCTCTTCTTAACGACGTCCACCCATGTTTCGCCTCCGCCAGGTATAATCGTGGTATCTCTAGGAATTAATTCCGCTGCCTCGTTGTTAGTGGGCTGCGCCGCTTTGGTTGTATTTTCCGGTTTTTTTATGGGTGGTAAAAGCCTAAAGCCTCACGCATTCTTTTCGGGGTATTTACATCTTTACCCATAGGGGATACCTGAGATGCTTTCCCTACCATAATTATTTTGGGTAGATTCTCACCTTCCTCAGGCTTCGCATGTAGTGTTACTATGCTGCTAACTAGGTCGCGCATTGCCTGGTTTATATGCCTTTGGCCAGCCATCATGCTCTCCAGCTTTTTTATTTTATTACCCAACTGGTTAAAAATTCGGATAGCTCCACTACTTGGTAGGTCCTCAGAGAGTTTGCCACCTCTAATTGTATGGATGGCATTTTCACATTCTTTTGTTGCTCCAGCAGCGGGGGATAACTCATTATTCCCATTAGGAGGAGTTCTCATGATTTTTGAATACCTTTTAAATGGATTCTCTGGAGTGTACCCACTACTGTTCTCAGAGATAATACCTCACTGATCGAAATAGTTGGAATGTATTTACGTTCAGTCAGTGCCACTAAAACCTTGCGTATATTTATGCGTCAAAAATCAATATGGCATCTAAAATATTTTTCCGTGACTCGCACAAATCTGCGTCAATATGTATGCATGCTCACATATTATATAAACATACATATTTACGATAATTTGTGGGCAAATTTTACGATGATTTTCAGCTCGAGTACCGGCTGATTTAGTAGTTATTCTAGTTTGTTTACCCTTACAGCATACAATGAATCCAATGTTACTTGCGCCGTTGAAATTAACTCCAAAGAATTTGCACCTGCTTCATGCTGTTCTTGTAAATATGTGCTTATCTTCAATGCCGAAGCTCAAAACTGTCAATAGCTGTCATTGCTTTTCCAATTGGAATTTGGCACAGTCTAATATAATCGGTGTTTTGCATTACAAAAATTATATACATTGCCTTCAAACACCACCTTTTTGTTTTGCTTTGTTATTTGCCGCACCGACAAAAGATTAGCGCAAAGTCTGGGAACATATTCTACATTCACTTCCAATAATCGAAAATGTATTAAGTTCCATAACTAAGCCGCAAATTAAATTATGAAACTTAGATTTGGCACCACGAATCGTATTAAGAAGGGGTACGCGTGGTTTGAAAATCTTTAAAAAGTGGGCGTGGACCGCCCCATTATAGGTTTAATGTACATATATATCTCCTAAGCCATTCAAGCTTTATCCCCCTAATTTTCACAGAACAAATCTTTTCACATCTCTTAAGACAATGTGAAACTAGGTGAAATCGGAATATAACCCCGTCCACTCCTTATATAAAGGTTTTGGTTAAAAACTACTAAAATTGCGATAAATCACCAAATAAATGAGTCAGAGATATTAAATTTTACATCCGGGTTCATGCGAGAAGGCACCGCCGACATTTAAGTAAAATCACATATCTCAAAAACATTCGGTACATAACATTACCCCCACATTTTCTTTCCCTTATAACAGAGTTGTAAATTCCATATGATTCTTTTACTTCCGAGTATACAAACCAAGAAGAAATGACGGAATAAAACTTGCACGAATAGTGCCTTTAAGATTTCCCACCTTATGACTAAAAATTGTCAAAATAGGATCATAACTGTTCAGGCCCCCAGACACCGAAGATGTGGACCCAGTGCATATGGCTGATTGTGTTTTTCTAATAACGGTGCGTCTTTATGCTTAAAATGTATAAAATCGGGTGAAAACTTACCCAGCCTCAATATAATCAATACCAGGATTTTCAAACATCCGGTTGATTTTACACCTCATATATTGGTCAATAGTATATATATTAATGAAACTGAGTTAGAATTTTTTTCTGGTAATAATATTATATGTCATAATGTCAAAAATGGATCAAATCGGGTCGGGTAGTATTGAGTTCCCATATACCTAATATAAGAGTTTTAAACTTCCGGTTGCCTTAAAACCACATACTATATCGGCGAATACGTAAGGTACTCCCACATTATCTATAATGATATAAACCTTATATCCCTAATACTATGTTTGCACCGATACAAAATTCGTGTTTTCATAGACAAAAGAGGTTTTCACGCAAAATCTTGCGTTTTCATCCATACAAAATCTGTCAAACGAAAACACAGTTTTCGCTGAAAACCCCTTGAAAACTTACATTCCACTCATTATAATCGGTGCCTGCTCTAGTTTATTAGAAGACATATTTTGCCAGCCCTAAATGTCAGTTGAGAATTTGTTTACATTCCATAATTGGCCTAAACGTACCCTAGAAGAAACTGCAGAAGATATTTCACTTCTGATAGCGTTTCAGTCATAACTGACCATTTTCAGCTATGACGGATTTATGGTCAGCAATGACTCAGAAAAAGACATAAGAGTGAGCAGTATAGATATATAGTGAATCACTTCCGAATACCCATGTGTTAAAGAGAGATGCAAACTCACACACATACGATTGTTCACATCAGTTTTTGCACAAGAAACTTTGTTCTGCGCGCTGACAAAATTTTTTCAGCTATGACTGTCATATTACCCATCAGATGACCGTCACTGTTCTTGTAGGGTACATAACAAATGTAAACAAATAGATGTGTGAACTTTCAATGAAAACTCTCGAAAACACACAATGTCGGTCAGAACGACTTTTATTCCACAATCCAAGTTTTTTCAAGAGAATTTCAATTCGGTGTGAACATAGTATAACTCAATATAATACATTTAGCTTCTTTGGTTGAGTTTATATCACATAAGTACATGTATCTCATTTGAAGATGATTATAGTATAATTTTAGCCGATGTGAAGTAATATATAGCAATAAAATTAAATGATGACCTATAATATAACTTAATAAAATATTAAATTTGATTGTATTTCATTCTCGATTTCGTGGAATAATAAAGTTGCAAGAGTATAAAATGTTCGCTTACGAATGAACTTAGCCCTTCCTTACTCGTTTATTTTATTGTTATTAGTGGTATTATATTGTTGTTTTTAACTATTGTAGTTTGTTGTTTTTTTACATATGTTTGAAATTTGGAATTGTTATATTTTTCTCAGCACATGTGTAAGAGCTATGCTTTAGTTATGTTCACGTTTAAATTTTGTTTTAGTCACTGCACTTTTGCTTTATAAATATATAGGTACACTTATATATTATATATATATGTATTATATTAAGCACAATACTGTGCTTTGTTGTTTTATGCAATATAATTCACATAAATTTATTTAAATATTAGGTTCTTGTGTCAACTTTGTTTTTCGTCCGGCCCTGTTATATATACTTGTAAATATATCATTTGTTGTTGCCGCACTTTGTTGTTTTACTTTTTCACCAAACTTATTTAATTTTTTGTAAAAGTTCGATAGTGATTTTCGGTAAAGCTCAAAGAACCATGTTTATATTTGAACCCAATATATTGCCAAGCAAACAGCTCTTTATGTTAACTTCAATAGGTAACACCCGCATGATAGTTTAAAATAACAAGTAAGTAAGGGTTAATTTTGGGCGTCACCGAACATTTTATACGCTTGCAACTTGCAAGGATCAAAGCCAGCGAAATACCTTCAGTTGGTGGCAAAACTTTATATTAAACAAGTAAGGAAGGGCTAAGTTGGGGTGTAATCAAACATTTTATACTCTCGCCACCTACAAGAACCAAAGCCGAATAAAACTATTTTGGAATTGCAATAATATATAATATCTGACAGGTTGACCAATATTTTCGGTAAAAAGTTCGCAATAGGAACTTGGCTCCACATGTTCGGTATATGGACGCTTGAATAGTCCGACTTGGACAATTTTTGGTCATAAGGTGGCACACCTCAAAGGCACTATTAGTGCAACTTTTATTCCATTATATTAATTGGTGCTTTATTTGTATACTGAAATGTGTAAGAATCAGATGGAATTTAAAAGTGTGTTATATGGGAAGTTAGTTGTAGTCTGATTTCACCCAGTTATGCACTGTAAAATAAGAATGTCAGAACAATGTTACGTACCGAATTTGGTTGAAATCGGTCGATCAGATCCCGAGATATGTGATTGTCTAATTTTACCCGTTATTTGGGGAGTGTGTGTTTATTATAGTTTTAAACCCCTTTTTAAAAAAGCCCACAGCTGTCCCTTACTACTACAATCCCCTGTGCGAACCTACAGTTTTGTATCTTAATTTGCGGCTTCGTTATGGCATTTTATAGATTTTCTATAAATGGCGTTTTGTGAGCGTGGCAGTGGGCCGATTACGCCCTATTACGAACTCGTTCTAACTTTTTTGACAGCAAGATTCAGATATTAGGGTGTATCATTATTGTCACGGGTGGATCAGTGAATGAACTTTTCAAACCCGTTAAGTAGTTATTCAATTCAAACAAACAAACAATCAAATATTTCCTCGTTGTAATAATATACTTTCATATAAATATCTCGGTTATTACCTTTTAATACAAATGAAACCAAGTGAGTTTATGACTTATGTTGGAAGTGAAAGGAAGTTGCATAATATGATTATTACTTTGCCGCTTTCGTGGAATAATTAATATGTAATCATTTGTAACATTATTTAATATAAAAATATTCTTAAATTTATAAGCAGAATTTAATTTCCTTTGGGCTTCAGAATTTGCGAGAGTGTAAAATATTGGGTAACCCCCGAATTAGCTTTCTTTACATTTTCTATATCTTTAACTTCTTCTAACTTTAATTAAGATGTGTTAATTTGTAAACCTATAAATGGTATAAAGGAATTAATAAATAAACTTTCTGTAAATATTATCGGAAATACTTTTAAATTTCTTTGTTAATGGTCCTTTATTTTGCAACTTTGTGTTCAATCAAAATAGTTTAATATGTACTTAATTCATTTCATTAACAGTACCTGAAAAGTTAGATGACTTGCAAGTTCAAAAAATTGCAGTTGACTCTTTTTCCTCGCACAATCCCACAAAAACTGCTGCAGTTAAATTCCCGGTTGATATGCTAAATACCTATTTAGGATCAATAATATATGTGGCCTTACTTGTGTCTGAAAAGGTAAGTTTAAAATATTATATGCCATTATTATTAAAATTATTATATATACGAGTGTAAAAAGATTTTCTTAGATGAAGCAAATGATAGTCCATGAATACTATATCTGCGGTTAAAAGGTGACCACAGGGATGCATAAGTCGTGGTTAATATTTTATAATAATATGCAGTGGTCGTCCAGTATAACGAATTTTCGGTTTAACGAATCATCAAAATTATCTTATTGATGTTTCAATATTAAGCACCCAAAGGATTTTAATTATTCGATATTGCGAACTCTGCTATGTATATTTTTATTCGCATCGAACTTCGCATTTTTTGTAAAAAGTTCGTAAACTAACGGTAGTTAACCAGCATCTACAGAAACAAGTAAGGAATTTAGCTCTTCCTGTAACCTAACACTTTATACTCTTGCAACTTGCAATGAGCAAAGAAAAAAGAAATATAAACGTATTTTTAATACTCTTGCAACGTGTTGCTACAGAGCATAATAGTTTTGCTCGCCAGTTTGTGTCACCTAAAAATAATCGAGTTGGATATAGGATTATATAACTATATAAATGATCAAGATGTAGACATGAGTAGAAATCTGGGTGACTGTCTGTCCGTCCGTCCGTCTGTGCAAGCTGTAGGTAGGTAGATAGAATGGCTGTCTTACAACACATCCAGGCCGTTAGGAGACCCATTGTGGTACCACCGGAACTTAACTCCTCTCACTCTATTGGTGCCTCTCTGAACCAACCCGTGCTTCTGATGAACTTCATCAGTTTGACAAGTTTTATCTCTGCAACCCCCGATACGCCGTCAAGAAACCCTTCACCGATGGTTACGATTCTTTTCCTATAGAGAGCCTTGCAATCGCATAAAAGATGTTTAACGGTCTCCTCCTCTTCTACCTCCTGACAGTCGTCATATGGCGTTAGTATTCTACTGGCTTGTCTGCCTATTAGACAGTGGCCTGTTAGTACTCCTGCTAGAGTTCTTATATCACCGTTTGATGTTTAATAGTCGGCATGTGCGGCCCATATTCCAATTCTGCTACGTTTGACTGTATTTTGAGCAAGTCAGGGATTGATTCCATTAAGACTCTGCAATGTTTATAACATGTTTGTCAATTAAATATCTATAAATAGCTAGAGGCATATATATTCTACTTTTCCAGGCTCTAGTTGTAGGATGGTGCATGTTCTGGCTAATTCATCTGCTACACAGTTCGCTGGGATTTCACTATGTCCTCAGACCCATCGAAAGTTTATCCTAAAATAGGATGTTGATCCACTAAGAGCTCAAGGCATTCGTTCACTAACTTAGACGAAATCCTAAGAGACTTAATTGATCTCAAGCCGCCTGGCTTTCTGTGTATATAAATATATTTCTTGTTGTGAGCATATTCCTTGTCAGTACAAGAAGGCTTTTTTAATTGCTGTGAGCCCACTCCGTGTCAGAACAAGAAGGTTTTTTTGATTGCTAGACGGAAGGCGATTTTGATATCTAGTTTAGCAGAAAAGACATCGGCGCCCCTCGATTATCTAGTTTCAAACCATTCGTATAGATATTTATTCCAACTCTAGGAATTGAATCTGTGATAATGGGAAGAAACAGGAAATTTCTAAATCCCTTAGTCTAAGACCTAACTTCGCTGTAATTTTTTACAAAAAGAATCTTCGGCAGTAAGTGTAATATTACATTTATCGCCTTGCTTGGCGTTGTTCTAAGAGATCCACTGATTCACATACTGGTTGCTCTTTGTATACTTTTCATATTTCTTAACCGTTATTGGTCACCATACCAATATATCGTAAGTCATAATCGGCCTTACAACTGCTGTATACAGCCAGTGGGTTACTCGAGGCGTTAATCCCCATCTGTTCCCCACCATTCATTTCACGTGTAAAGTACTGTAGCTGCTTTCTTTACCTTTCTTCATAGTTTGGTTTCCAAAAAAGCTTCCTGTCCAAAATTAGTCTCAAGTAACTTGCCTTATCTCCCATCACTAGCCTGGTACCATTTAATAATGACGGCACGATTTGTGGAATATTGTGTTTCTTAGTAAACAGTACTAGCTCCGTCTTGCTAGGATTCAGGTTCATTCCGCTTGATACGGCCCATCGATTAATATCATTTAATATTGTCTGCATAAGGCTAGCAAGAGTATTCGGGAATTTGCCTCTAACGGTAACTACCATATTGTCAGCGTAGGCCACAACAAGTACCCTTTCTTTTCCAGATTCACAAACATTTTGTTCATTGTTAAAATCTATATAAGTGGAGATAACACGCTTCCTTGGAGTGTACCCCTTCCGACAGATCTGTACATCGTTGATGCTCCTAGCGTTGAAATAGTTGACCTGCCCAAGAGCATCTGTTCAATTAATATCCTGTAAGGCTCAGAGATGCCCAAATATTTTAGAGCGCTTAGTATGGCCTTTAGCTGGCTGTTGTTGAAAACGCCTTCTATGTCTAAAAAAGCTACGAAGGTGTATACTTTTCGATATCTGCTACCACTGAGTTTAGTGCCTTTTACGGAAATTTTCTTAGAATACTCATACTGCGTAACTGTTATTTTTACTGGGTTTAGTTTGCTCCTTATGTATAATTCAATAAGCTATTCCAATGTTTTTAAGATAAATTAGGCAAGACTTTCTGGTCTGAAATCCTTTGGATTGTGTGTGAGCTTTTGTCCGCCTTTGGTATATATATCACCTTGACTTTGCTCCATAACGAGGAAATATAGTTTAATAGCAGTATCGCTTTAAACATGGTTGTTAACCGGTTTATTATGTGGCTCTGGAACTATTGTAACTGAGCCGAGAATAAACCGTCTGATCCCGGCGATTTGTAGGGCTTAAAGCTGCCTATCATCAGTGAGACAAGTTTTATCCGTTTATCTCCAACACGTCGTCAAGAAACCCACGACTGATGGCTGCGATTTTTTTCCTATATAATGCTGCGCAGTCGCATAGAAGATGTTGAATGGTCTCCTCCTCTTCTATTTCCTGACAGCTTCTACAATAGTCGTTATATGGCGTACCAAGTCTACTTACATGTCTGTTAGACAGTGGCCTGTTAGTACTCCTACCAGAGTACTTATATAATTCCGCTTGAATTTTAATAATCGGCATGTGCGGCTCATATTCCATTCATGCCACGTTTGCCTGCTAGTTGAGCAAGTCAGGGACTGATTCCACTGACGCTCGGCTATGTTAATGACATGTTTGTCGATTAGGTATCTACACCTAAGCCTGGGACCCATTGCAAGTTTACCGTGAAATAGGATGTCAGATCTGCTAGAAGATCATGGCATTCTTTCATTGCCTTCGACGAAATCCTATGAGACATCAGAGATTTCAAAGCCGCCTGGTTGTCTGTATATATAGATATATTCCTTGTTGTGAGCACACTCCTTGTCAGTAGAAGAATTCTTTCTTTAATTACGGAGACCTCCGCTTGGAAAGCACTGCAGTGGTCTGGTAACCGGAAGGCGATTTTCCCCTTGTTACTAGCGTCTAGTAGAGAGGATTCCCTCAGTCTCAGAGCTGACTTCGCTGCCATTTGCTTGCAAAACAGATTTGTTGGTAGTAAATGTAAAATTACGTTCGCTCCATTGATGCAAATACTGGCTGCTCCTTGTATACTTTTCATGCTTCTAATCGCATATTTCTTTCCTGTAATTGGCCACCATACTAATATACCATAAGTCATAATCGGCCTTACAATTGCTGTATAGAGCCAGAAGGCTACCCGAGGCGTCAGTCCCCATCTGGGCCCCACCATTCTTTTACACGTGTAAAGCGCTGTAGCTGCTTTGTTGTTGTTGTTGTAACGGTTACCTAGTTCCCGTTTGGGTGATAAATTCCAGATTCGTTGTGCTAGATGGGTGGGGTTTGTTGGGCATGTAAAGAGGTGGTTAGTGTCATGCGGATACTCACTGCACGCAGGACATGTGTTTGGTATGTCGGGGTCTATTCTGGATAAGTAGGAGTTTAACCTGCTACAGTATCCAGAACGAAGTTGCCCGAGGGTCACTCTGGTTTCGCGAGGCAACTCGAGCTCTACGTCTGCTATGGGTAGTGGTTTGTCTCGTAATACGCCATTCACTGAGAGGGAGTCGGTGAAGGTGTTGATGGCTCCACTGTGAATGGCGGTCAGTGCCTGTCTGAAGTTCGTTGCGTCCGAAGTCCGGTCGGCGTACTGCCTAATGTCGTCGACGTAATCAAGGAAAGACCTCTTGATGTTCCTAGGAGGGGGCTCCGCTACAAGCAGGCGACTACAGGGGTGGTTTCTACGAAAACACCCCGGCAGAAACTGCTTGGAAAGGAGTTCGTTGTGTTCCTTAACCGGAAGCATACGGACCTCACTATGTAGGTGTTCGACTGGAGACATCAAGAGGCATCCCGTGATAGTCCGGAGTGCAGTGTTCTGACAGGTCTGAAGCTTCTCCTTCTGCTTGTCACTGCATCCAGGCGACCATATTGGGGCTGCATAATTTAGGACCGGCCGGCCGATTGCCCTGTATGTTGCCAACAACGTTTCTTTGTCTTTTCCCCAACAGCTGCCGGCAAGCGACTTGGGGATTTTGATGTAGCTCTGTACTTTGGCAGTTATCGCGTTCGTGTGAGGAGTGTCAGGAAAGAGCACAGACTATCCAATGTGATGCCTAAAATTTTAGGGTGGTACGCGGGTGGCCGGGGGAGTTTCGAAATATAGTAATTAAACAGTAGTGGGGAGAAGACACCGCCCTGCGGAACCCCCTGTTTAATTTTCCTAAGTTTGGAGTTTTGACATCGAAACAGTACGGATGAATGCCCACCGCTCAGGTAGTTCATAGTTCACCGCTTCAGCCCTGGAGGGAGCGTTGATTGTTTTAGGTCCTCAAGTAGCGTTGTGTGATTGACTGTGTCAAAAGCTTTTGACAAGTCCAACGCTACGACAATCGTCCTCTCGCAGGGTGGCTTCTGGTTCACGCCATGAACTATCTGGGCGTTTATGACGCTAAGTGCTGT